AAAATGAGTGATTGTACACAGTGTGAAGTACGGCCTTATAGCTAACAATTTGGCCAACGGTGAGCGATGGCGTAAGCATTTCGAGTATATTCTCAACTTCGATGATCGATCAATCGCGCCCCTGTCCTTCCCTTACAACAGAGTTTCATATATTCCCATCTTATGCAGCATCATGCGACAGCCACATGGGGGGAGAATTCGCCGACACAATAAGGCGGCACCACAACCACAAGGCGCTTGAACATGAAGTTATTGAAAATGAAATCTTCAAGTCCTGTTTCAACAGTTTGGTGTCCTGGCTCCATGAAAAGATAGAGGAAGTGTGGAGAGATGACATCGATCCTGGTGACTGGGGCTCGGAGGTCCAGACGCCTATCGTCAAAAGGGCAGCTAAGACCAACTGGCGGAACTACTGCGACATAAGTCTTAAATGGACGTTGGTGGGTGATCCAGACACTGACACCGCGAGTTATTCGTGAAATGTGTCATTGTTATCAGGGGAAGACAGACGTCGGTATTGTTGACTTTGCTGTCACGTGAGGCTCCAGCCATCGCGAGTCGTTACTGAGGATAGTGCAGTTAGATAGTGACAAGGTTGTGCTCTTTCGCCAATTCCGTTCAACCATGCCACTAAATGGATTCGCGGGAAACTCCTACACGAAGTTTAGTATGCACCCAGACGCTGGTTGACTGAGTTAGACAAGATAACCTCCCTAGCCGTAGGTTTCAGTGATCTAGAGTCTGTGCTATCACGGATGAATGAAGTTACTATCTCTGTCGGTTAATCCATCAGTGCTGGGAGAACTAAGTTGTTTTCGAGCTGCATCCCTTATTATCGAATAGTCTGTATGGCGGCCAGGTTTATTGAACGGGAAGTGGAAACAGCAGATAACGAACCACAGAGGCCAAACCACCCTACACACTTCTAACTTTTCCAAAAAACGGATATCCTCACCGACTAGTGATTACTCTTAAATAAAGCAGTAGTAGTACATTACAACTTCATTCCAGTCTTTGACATATAAGGTATATATGTACGAGTCTCTGAGACTCCAGGTTGCAAACTGTGTTTCAAAAGCTTATCACAAAGGGTAAAGACAGTTTCACAGGATAATCTTATAAAACAGACGCAGAAAATATTTTTTCATGTTAGTACAAAGAGGGGTGGCACAAGTTTATAAGGAAGTGGTTAAAGCGTAAGTCAGCTGTTGCTGAAGGGCAAAATCGCAGGATTTAGAAAGTTAGTTCATTCATTAACCATAAAAGGCGTGTTGGTTCAAAGTTTTACTTAGTTTGCTGTACAAATCGTGGCACTTAGTGCCTCACAGAAAACGGGTGAGGGATAGCAACGCGACAACGCTGTCTGACAACCTCTCCACAACCGAATCTGACGGGGGATTTC